TGTCACAATCCACTGAAATCCCCACCTCTTGATAAAACCACCCCCATGGCCAGAAAGGGAATATGTGCTTCAAGCACATCCACATTTTTGGGGCTTGTTCAGCACCATCCACATCCATGTCCACCGTGAAGCGTTTAAGCTATCTGGCGGTGGGAGTACTCAATCCTGTTCATTTTTGATGATGAGTATCAATCTATTTAATCCTACGTTGAAAAAATCAATCCTCTATTCAATCCTACCCTGGAAAAACAGAAAAATAGACCCCTTCTTAAAATAGAGAGCGCGAGCCGCCTTTTGACCCAAAAGGCGCGCCAGACGGTGTATCGTGCGCGCGCTTGAGTCTTTGCGCAGCGTGCGCGCCCCCCTGTGTATCGTGCGCGCCTGATTCTTTGTGCAGCGTGCGCGGCCACCTGTATATCGTGCGCGCCTGATTCTTTGTGCAGCGTGCGCGCCCACCTGTGTATCGTGCGCGCTTGGTTCTTTGTGCAGCGTGCGCGCCCAACTGTGTATCGGGCGCGCCGCTGTTAGTCTATACCTGGTGTCAAAGGCGCGCACGATGCACCCGCGCACGATGCACCCCTGAGCGCGCACGATGCACAGCTCAATGAAAATAAGGTTTCTAGTGTTTGTCTCCACACTTGGGACCCCCCTTGAGAGAGGCAGTGCATATGCACTGCCTCTCTCAAGTGGGGGGCTGCGCTGCCCCCTGTTGAGAAGCACTTTTGGAGGGTGTCTGAGAGAGACAGTGCAAACGCCCGGTCTCAGCTCAACAGTCATGTGCAATCATGCCTGTGGTCTCTCAACAGGGGGCAGCGCATCCCCCCCCTTGAGAGAGGCAGTGCATTTGCAGTGCCTCTCTCAGGGGGGGGGGCCCATCAATTTTGGTGATATAAATGTTTTGGCTAAAAAAAATTGTGGGATTTTGTGTGTGTTTTTTGCCTGGCTGGCAGGCACCATGGGACCCGGCCGAGCACGAGTCAGCGCTTACAACTGCGGGAACCTATGTGTCAGCAGGAAACCTGTTCTGGTGCAACCTGAGGGTTTTGAACAGCCCATCTGTTCCTGTCTCGGCAAAAAGCATAGAGCTCCAGTTCAATTACTTTGAGGCGACTGGTCCAGAGAAGCTTCCGGAGGAGGTGGTCATTGCACTTGAGCAAGGTGTTGGGGTGGGTCAATTCCAGCGGCAGCAGGCGCAGGTAAACAAATTGCTATCGAGCCGCCTTTTGGGTCAAAAGGCGGCTCGCGCTCTCTATTTTAAGAAGGGGTCCATTTTTCCGTTTTTCCAGGGTAGGATTGAATAGAGGATTGACTTTTTCAACGTAGGATTGAATAGACTGATATTCATCATCAAAAATGAACAGGATTGAGTACTCCCACCGCCAGATAGCTTAAACGCTTCACGGTGGACATGGATGTGGATGGTGCTGAACAAGCGCCAAAAATGTGGATGTGCTTGAAGCACATATTCCCTTTCTGGCCATGGGGGTGGTTTTATCAAGAGGTGGGGGTTTCAGTGGATTGTGACACCAAATCCAACTCAGTGTAGTCACATATACCACCCATCTTTCAGGGGAGTTGCCACAAGTCATACGCAGCTTTACTTTAGGAGTTGTACATATCTTTGTGGTTGTTATGTTTTTCAGAATGGATGGTGCTGAAGAAGCGCCCATGTCCAGAAAGAGATGGTTGAACTAAACATTAGCGCCCCTTCCAACCATTCCAACCCAGTGAGGTTCCCGACCTGCTTCTGGATCTGAGGTTCGCCATTGCCCCACTCTGCCAGTTTGGCGCTTCTACAGCACCAATCATCTGGCGCTTGCACAGCACCTTTTTAGGGGCGCTTCTTCAGCACCTTCCTGCTAAAATACGATTGTTTAATTTGCATTTTCCAAAAACAGTGTCCAATGCATGTTTTATCTCATGTATCAAAGTGTGTTTGCTCAAAAACGCTCCAAAGTCGTTGACAAGCACTGTGTGGTTCCTGCCTGTGGATCGCAATAGTTGATTTCTCAGGACGTTTGATGATGTTTGTGTTGTTTGTCTGCGCCTGTCAAACTGTTTGTAAGGTTTCCTCTGAAAAAAACCACAAAAAACATACAAAAAGTTCCAGACATTCTACTGTCAAAAGCCATGCCTTTTTAAAGTCAGGCTTCCACATGCCACCAACTTTCAAAAAAACAAGTTGAATCATCTCCCAACTTTTAATGAAAGCAAGATATCACCAATCAAAAAGACTCCCACTGCTTGACACAAAACATTTGTCCTTTATTTCTTTGAAAATGTATGGGATCAAAGTTATATCTATGCCACAGGGCACCGGTTTTTAACCTTGAAGCCTTTGGGCTATCATATTCACAGAGCCAAACAAAGGTACAACTTTTCAATTTTAGGGTCATCATTATCATAGAACATGGGTTTTCAGATCACTAGTCATCATGTTGACGGGCCAAAAACCAAGGCAACAAAAGCACATACCAAAGCACAGCCCAGTCTTATAGGACACTCTTGTGGAACACTCTTGTGGGGCACTCTTGTGAGACACTCTTGTGGGACACTCTTGTGGGTCACTTGCAGGACACTCTTGTGGGTCATTCTTGTAGGAAATTCTTGTGGGGCACTCTTGTGGGACACTCTTGTGGGACACTCTTGTGGGACACTCTTGTAGGACACTCTTGTGGGATACTCTTGTCGGACACTCTTAAGGGACACTCTTGTGAGACACTCTAGTGGGACACTGTTGCGGGACACTGTAGGACACTCTTGTGGGACACTCTTGTGGGACACTCTTTTGTGACACTCTTGTAGGAAACTCTTGTGGGACACTCTTGTGGGACACTCTTCTTGTGGGACACTCTTGTAGGACACTCTTGTAGGACACTCTTGTGGGTCACTCTTGTAGGAAACTCTTGTGGGACACTCTTGTGGGACACTCTTGTGGGACACTCTGTGGGACACTCTTGTGGGGCACTCTTGTGGGACACTCTTGTAGCATACTCTTGTGGGACAGTCTTGTAGGACACTCTTGTAAAACACTCTTGTGGGACACTCTTGTGGGACACTCTTGTAGGACACTCTTGTGGGATACTCCTGTAGGACACTTTTAAGGGACACTCTTGTGAGACACTCTAGTGGGACACTGTTGCGGGACACTCTTGTGCAACTCCCTTCCAGCTCCCCAGATACTCCGCGTACTAAAGTTGTACTACAAGGTCGCCAGTTCTCAGCTTCCAGCTCCCCAGATACTCCGCGTACTACAGTTGTACTACAAGGTCGCCAGTTCTCAGCTTCCAGCTCCACAGATTGCTCCGCGTACTAAAGTTGTACTACCAAGTCACCAGTTCTCATCTTCCAGCTCGCCAGATACCCCGCGTACTAAAGTTGTACTACAAAGTCGCCAGTGCTCGCCTGCATTTCGCGCGCTCGACGCGCGCGATCTCCGCAGAGGGTTGCGCGGGCACCGGACAAATCGCACTCTCGCCTGCATTTCGCGCACTCGACACGCACGATCTCCGCAGAGGGTTGTGCGCGCATGGGACAAATCGCACTCTCGCCTGCATTTCGCGCACTCGACACGCACGATCTCCGCAGAGGGTTGCGCGCGCATGGGACAAATTAATCGCACTCTCGCCTGCATTTCGCACACTCGACACGCACGATCTCCGCAGAGGGTTGCGCGTCAAGTCTCCAAAACGAGCGTTTCGTACGAGACTTCCTCAAAAACTCACACGTCAAAGTCAGCAAAACGAGCGTTTCGTACGAGACTTCCTCCAAAAGTCAAGCGGAAACACCCATCAAAGCACACACATCACGCAGCCCTGCCAAGCAGTTTTGCGATTCCAGCCCCTCCAAACAACATCCGCTCACACGCCAATCCCAATGTGACAGCGACATTCACCTCTACCACAACTCACAACCTCACGATTCCCTGCGCCTGCCACGAATCTTTGTGGCATCCACACGTCTGACGCACACAAAGTACTGCGCCTGCCACGAAATGTCACCTCCCTCACACCTCGCAGCCTCACGATTCCCTGCGCCTGCCACGAGAATCGCACTTCCACGCTTCAAAACCCGCACGAAGTCCTGCGCCTGCCACGAAAAGTGACAATATCATCGCATGTGAGCTTCAACAAAATTTGCACCACGCCACACGTTTGGAATGATTTCGACCCGTTCAGAGCACACTCCCATCCTCCAAAATCGCCATTTCAGCTGAGACTTGTCACGAAAGCAGAGCTTCGATGCCACACCCTGAAACGCAAATCCCAATGGCACGGCCACATCCAACACCCCAAAAACACGACTCTCCAAACGCTAATCCCAATGGCACTGCGCAGCAAACTGCGGATCTCACAAAACGCTGCGCCTGTGCAGCGAAATGCATCACGTTTCTTGCGCGACATGTCGGTGTCATGCAAATCACAATGGAATAGCGGCGCAAACTGACACGTGACACATCCATGCAAAGTCACTTGCAAAAGCTTCCCCCAATGGCAGCAAATTTGAGACGCGACGACGACGACACGACGACGAGAGACGACGACAAACGACGAGAGACGACGACACGACGCAAGCCATGCAAACACAGGTCCAACCCCCAGACCCCCAACTATAAACGGGAACCCTTCGCTACGCATTCGGGAAAAAGTATCAACATGTCACACGAACTCCATCTCTCCATATCTCTCCATATCTCTCCATCTTGTCTGAGCTTCGAATGACCTCCAAGGCCTTCAGTTGCACCGCCTCCCCGCCATCGGCGGTGTTGAAGTCCAGGTTTTTCACCACCGGGCTCAGTGCCAGCGCGATTTCGCAAAGCTTGGCGCGACAGAGTGGAGAGGAATAGTCACCTCGCCGGCGAGTCGGTAGGCGATGAATCTGGGAGGTGGGATTGGGGATCTGATGGATCTGCTAGCTCTGTGAGTTGGGGATTCATGACGTGAAGACTGATTTCCACTTCAAGTGGATAATCAGGGCCACCCGAAGCATGTGCATCCAATTCCCAGAAGTGCCCAAAACATGCAACGACAATCTGGAGCGGTGAGCATCACAAACCTGCACTTTCGCGGTGGGATGGAATCTGAGCTTCCCTTGCCAAACCAGGGCAAACAAACCAGCATCCACACTCTGCTACTAGCAGTTCCAGTGGCGTTTCTGCCACCGAGGCTCACTTCAAGCCATCCTCCAGTAGCACATGCTTCCCGTTCTTTGCCAAGTCATGCCGTTGGTTGAGCCGCAGCACCTCGGCCTTGGGCACCTCCGCCATTCGGCGGCTGCCACCTGCCTCAGTGACCTCCACCAACCTTAGATGTGCACAGTGGACCCGGCAAGTCTAGGGAACTCCCGGCCGGGCCGTTTTTTTCGCGGCCTGGGAGCCTTGGTTTTTGTGGGGGAAAAAGAGTTCAACTCCGGCTACTTCAAGAACCCTGATATGGCTTCGCACTGGTTCTTTTCTAGCTTTAGTGCGCAGATGCGATCTGTTTTTTTGGGGGAGAGTTGATCAGAAAGAAACTAACGGATGACAGCTGCAAGCCGGATGACACTTGTCAACCTTCGACCCAGCCCTTCCCAGTCGATCATCACCAGGTGAACGGTGATTTTGAGTGATTTCAGGTGACCCTTGGGGTCAAACCCGAGAACTATCTGAAACCCTGAGGTAGACTTGTAGAGACATCATCAGAAAACCTGTGAACAACGAGAAAAACCGTGAAAACTACGGATTCTTGGATGTTCCCATCTTTGTTGGTGCCTAGACAATCAGGCAATCAGCCAAAGCCACACCTAAGCCATTCCTCCCCCACAACAGCAGCTGGAAGACCACGTATCAGCATTCTCCTTGGACTTCCCCTTCAGTTCCGCTTTGGAGGTCGTACGGTCTGCCCCGGAGGATGACACGCACCTCGCTGGCTGAGAAGAAACACCGTGCGTGTGAAGGATCATAAAGAGATGTTGGACTGCTATCTCAAGCGCCAGGTACTCGGGGCATGTCTATCTAGCACTTAGGGGCCATGTGTGTGTGTGCGCCTCTACTTATGATAGACTAGCTGACTGACCAGCTCAAACAATTGGCTGTGCAATGCATGTGCTGCTACTTGTGCTACAGTCCCACACGATCCAAGCCCACGGGTACGCGGAGTACACGATCGCCTGTCTCAACACCTCAACACTGCCACTGTTGAATGAAGATAATGAAGCTTCCAGTCAGGATTCTTCGGCATACATCTGCATATATCGCTACAAGACACATCTGGCCGTGGTTTGTGTGGAGCCCTTCCTCAAACTCACCACTGCTGCGATGTGTCTTCCCTTTCCAGTTTTTCCACATCCCATGTCAGAGCTTTCTGAGTGGTCCAACACTGCTTGCTATATTTGCTATACTGCTTGCTGCTTTCACATCCACACAACCACAAAACCTTCCACCATCGCTGTGCAAAAGGATGCAAAAGGGATTTCTTGGGTGGGGAGGTCTGTGATAAGTAGATCTCTGGAGAATCCGCTCGACGTCGGTGGCACCTTCCAACGATTATCTACACGTACCTTGCAGCTGTTGGTTTCTTGTCATAAACCTGACCATTCTACTTGCTGTGAGAAAAAAAAGAAAGAGCAGCCGCATGCCGCATGCCGCATGCCTTCGAACTCGCCAGATCTCGATCCCTGGATTCGATCGACGTCCTTCGTCCTTTCCGTCCGCCACGGTCCAGTTGGATCCCATGACGACCCCGGTCGTGGCAAAAGCACATGAAGTCGGAATCCGAAGGCTTGAAGATCACCTTCTGCCGCACCAGCACCTTGCGCCCCACGCAGTACCGAGGCGTGTGCCGCATGCGCTCCCAGCCTGAGACGAAAAAGAAGACGAAGGATCTGAGACGGGTCAAGGACACCTGTAATTCGTGGACTGGCTATGATGTTGTTGCCCCCAAATGCAGGTCGCTTCAAAAGCGATACATTCAGTTCAGTCGCAGCCAAATCGAGCCATGCACTTGTAACTCATAGAACAACTTGCACTACAAAGGAAACCAAGCGCAACGCCGGATCAACAAAGAAATGACTCCTACAAAAGCAAGGATTCTATGCAATACCTCAAGCACGTCCCAGAGCGAAACAATCTGAATGCTATCTTCAAATGGCAATAGCCCGTTTCCCTTTCTATGACCACATTCCGCAGCAACGCCCAGCAAATCCAACGACTTCTATAATATGGTACCTTCTAGTTCTGGCGTAGATCACACCCAGGAATCTTGCAGCTACTCAAGGACAGTTTTGACTTTTGACAGTTGCTTTACAGTCAACCTGTCCGGAAACCGCAAAAAATAAAACACCCACAGGTCATGGGATATGCACCTCTTCCTGAATTCTGCCTGGATCTCAATCTCAACCATCCATTGTTCCTGACACAAATCTCTTTGACCTCCCGTGCTTCGGCACTGACTTCGGCGGCCACGCCTTCGGGCGCTTGCGACCAAAGGCCCAAGTTCACCAAGATGTTTGGATCGCTCAAGGCCTCTGCAAAGGGAATCCCAGGCTTTGGACACCACGACCTACCAACGCACACCCCACAGGACCTATCATTCCCAAAAGCACTGTCATCTACCACCAAAATGACTGGAGATGAAGGGCCATTTATTGTTCAACTTGACCCATATATGTAGCCATCCGCACTTGATGACCCGAAATCAACTGAATCCGTCTCACCCCCCCCCTTTTCCCCCCCCCCTTCCCCCCCCTTTCAACCCCCCACCCCGTCTTCGTCTTCGCTTGCCCCCCTGGCCTCGGGGCTCATCTCCGGCAGCGCGCCGAAGAGCGCCGCCGAGGACGCCGAGGAGCCCGTGAGGCGCTGCGCGTAGAGCGCTGCCAGGCGCCCCGCGCTCCAGAGCCTGGGAGGTGACGCGGTGGAGCACGGTGACCGGTGGAGCGTGTGGTGAAGGTGGAGCGACGTGGTGGGTGGAGCGGTCTAATTCGAAACACACTGAGCCCTCATTGAGGTGGTGCACCATTTTCTTGAGGCCCAACTCACCGGCCCGCTCCTACTTGAGAACACATGGCCCACTCGAGTGCCTTCGGACAAAGCTCAACATCAATGCTATCACCTGGCTGGATATGGCTGGATTCTAGAATCCAGTAGGTCGCTGGCACCCATGTAGGGGCCATTCCACCATCCATCTGCAGCATGGTCTGTCAACCCTATCCACCCCACCCTCCAACCCCACAGCCACACTCCTCCAAAGCCATCCATCCATATTCATCCAGGCATATTCGCCAGGGAACTCTTTGAATTGTTGCACTGCTGCTAAGGTGGGGTCCGCGACCTCCCTCAGCTGCTTCGCCACATCGCCTGCGTCCGCCAAGGCGTCGGCCACCACCACATTCTGCCTCGAGTCGAACGGATCTGAGTCGCAGCAGCCAACAGGCCCAAAACAAAAACTGCCCAATGGATGTTCATGATTGACGTGCCCTAGCTGGATTCATCCTGTAGCTGGATCAAAGGAGTGTGTGAACCAACTGGGGTTTCTTGATGTGTCAAAAAGAAATCGCAGGGACGGCCTCACAACACAGTCTGTAGCGAAAGGTGCAGCATGGTGCAGGGCCTCGCAGTCTGGGGCCTGATTTTATGAGTGCTGGACTCGAAGTCTTCACTTCAATTTCAGGTGTGGCAACTGGTCATTGTGGATATTTTGGTGAACTCAAGCGACGAGTCGCATAGCCCATACCATCGTTGAGATTCCCCACCGATTCCCAGTCGATCGCCACAACCCCTCCCCTTCCAAAACCCCACTCAAGCCAGCAGTTCGACTGTTCGCTCCTAGCATCCCTACCAGCCCAAACGCATCCAGAAGCTCCGGGTGACGCATGCACTACCAGCTGCCCCGCGGCGGTGGCCGCCTTGGCCTCCAAGCGCTTCTCCAGCGCGCCGGCCACCGGCGCGGCCACCTCGCCGGCGAGGAACGCCAGGATGCGGCGCTGCAGCTGCGGACCCAGCTGAGGGTCACTGCCCAGGGACATGCCGGGCTTCCAGCGAGAGCCCAAGGAGTAGACCTTGAGAGGCAAAAAGAGAAACACACAACGATAAGCGTTAAACCAGCCATTCACATGTCCCTCCATTGTGGGGGGTTTCAGTAAAGCAAGGTTCCCAAAGAACAGACACCGCCAACTTGGGCGACTGTTTTGGAGGTGATTACCAGGCCTTTCTATAGCTACAAACAATAGCTGTATAATTTATAATGTTTTATAAGAACAAGGTCTCTGGGTGCTGGTTGCTGACCGCTTTCTTCTTCTTTCACGTCTTCTTTCACGTCACGGGGCGATTGACCACCATCGCCTCAAGGCGAAGACTGCGAATTGGAAAACAACTCGAGCTTAAAGATACACAGCTTCTGGCAACATATACCTGCAAACTGCGTCCACCGTTTCAAACCACCTTCCCCATCCGATGGATCATCCAATCACCCGAAAGAGGTGGGAAGGTCCTGTTCCCTCACAGCCGCAGCTTCGTCCAAGCAGCTTCGAGCTCTCTCTTTGAACTGGGCAAGGCCTGAAAATGCTTCCGCCACTTGGTCAGATTGTGGAACCTCGTTGAGCTGTGTCGGCGCCGTTTGGGAGTGCTTTCATCCTCCGGTGGGTCCGGTGGGCTAGTCTCCGACCGCAGCCACAGAGATAGTCCAATTGGGACCAATGCAGCCTTTGGTTGGTCACAAAGTCACATCACGATGCTTCTGAAGAATACCACACCGTGGAAAAGTCACATAGAACCAGCATAGTATCAATCTATATAAAGGGATCCTTGGAATTCCTTGGAAGGCATTTGTCTAGATCGTTTCTCAAAAAGTCACTGGTGATTCTGGGTCATTCTTCCAAAAACAGGTGCGCTCGCATGTGACGTGGTCATGGACATGGATTGCTTTGGGGCCACGCTTTTCTGGTCCCCCACAGCGAAGCCCAGAGTCTCTTCTTCCATCTCACCCCTGAGCTGTTTCACACCCAAAGGGGCTGATCTTCCTTCACCCAGAGCACCAGCACCGGCACCGGCATGACTCCGAGGTTCTCGCCTGCCGAGTTCCACGGGTTCCACGGAAGAAAGCGACGCCGACCATGGAAAAGACCCCCCAAAGCCACTGAGGCTGTATGTGTGTTCCACAAAACCCACTGAGGTCGGCCGCGGGCCCAAAGAACCACTGGGCATCCAAGAACCACCTGCATCCTCTGTCGTAGAAAGCCAGAGAACTGAGAGCATGAGAGTTCAGTCTGCCAACCGACGAGTTGTTGGGTCGGCTTGGTCCCACTAACAGTTTCACACTGGAAATGGAACATGGAACCTGAAAACCACATCAGGTTGTAGAGGAAAATCGTTTTCCAGTCTGGTCCATTTTCGGATTCCATGTGGGTCTCTTCCCGGGTGTTGGTCTGAGGAACCCAACATCGAACTCCTCGCAGGAGTCAAAGCCTTCGAGGACCGCCATGGAAGGACCCCGATGGCTCCCCGTTTTTCCCTTTTCGGTGCGAAGGCAGCGTTCGCCCGCGGAGAAGGCAGCGTTCGTTTTCATCAGTGGCCTTTGGGTGGGGAGTAGGATGGATGGAAGGGCACGATCTTGTTGACCTGAGTCGCCAGGATTTGGCATTCCATGGCTTAAGCGGCATAGAACATCCAAAGCATTCCAATGAAAGGCATGGAATGAAAGGGATGTGACTTAAGCCAAATAAGTGGCTTAAGCGGCATAGTCAAATCGAAAGGCATGTGACATCATGTGACTATTTCTTCCAATCCAACCTCTTGGGTCGCCACAGCGGTCCAGTGCGCCACAGGTCACTGTCTTTCAACCAAAATGTTTGGCTCTTTGAGTGGCTCTATGACCTGCCTCAACAAAAGCCTTTGACCTTCGTCCGCTACAGCTCACTCCTCCTCTCACCGTCTTTGACCGTCATCTCTCACCCAAACAATCATTGGCAGCAGAGTTCTGCCCCCTGATCTTCCAAAAACAACCTGTTCACTTCACGACTCCACAGTTCTTCCCTCAACCGAAGCACACGGGTCTTCCGCAGTAAGGCCATGGACAGTGCGATACCAGCACCCCAATCCTTGGCTGGGGGAGAGCTTTTGCGTTTGGGTGCCTTCTCAAATGCTCTATGTACAACACATATCATAGGAATAACGTACCGTAAGGGCCATATTGATGCTCCTAGACTAGAAACCCATCTGATGGTATCCGAGCATCATCGAGTTCCCTCCTTTTCTCATCTTTTTCCTATACCCTGCTCAAGACTCTTGGTTCGGTCTTCCTCAAGTCAAGTCCTTTTTTCTGAGAAATGATGTTTAGTGACCATATAGAGGATAAATAAATATATATATATAATATACACATATTTTTTTTTTTTGGGGGGGGGGCTCGCTCGACTTCCTTTATCTGACTTACTTCCTTATGTGTTGCTGTGCAAGGGGTGTCCAATGCGCGTGAAGCATGATCATGATGATCAACGTCCTATCTTCACAGCTCTTTGAGGGCCCGATTCAACCCAGAGTAGACATGCGTGTGAATTAGAATAGGGCCATAGGGAGACCTCCCGAAAGACCCTGCCTGGAAGAAGGAAAACAAACCACAACCCGTTGGTGGGGCGTTACCCCATTATTAAAATACAAACCCACATCGGAAACACCCTTGGGAACACTTAGGTCAACTCATCTACGGTTTCAAACATACCCAAAAAAACATGGTGGGCAAGATGGGAACATATGGGAACTGGTCCGTGTTTGGACAGCGAACAGTATGTCTGTGTCTTTTAGACGGCCAAATGAATCACGGGTGGCATGTGCCGTGACCGCATGGCCCCCCAAGTGGGTGTCGTGACTACCATCGATCGATGGTCCCCAATTCACTCTCTCGTCCACCTTTGCCCAAGAAAACACATGTGTTTTGTTCTGGCGGTCCACCGCGCGCGATCCACCGCGCTGTCTGAACCGTGGTCCAAGGCACATATCCCACCACGTTGGCCTTTTGGACCCTGAGACGTCTGAAGAAAGTCTGAAGATGTCAAGGCTTCGTGCGGATGTGCCATGTCAATGAAGAATCTGTTGTACCATGGTACCGTGCCCGAAATCATGGCGTGTAAACTTTTGGGCACATCGCCAACACAATCCGTTCCTATGGGATAATTAAATATATAACTATAGGTGTTCGATAAGTACACCCAAAGCTTTGGAATACTGTGGGTGATCTTTCACCAAAACACCATGGACTTCATCATCTTAATCACACTGTGGTCGTCACAGCTGTTCCTTTTGCCAGTTCACGATGCTCAAATCGAACAGCAGCCTGGCGGTCTTCAACTCTCCCTGTGGGGTGTTCATGTTGGTTTCAGTTATCTTAATGAGACCCTGGACTAAAATACCACTCTCCCATTCGGATTGTACAACCTCTTCATATGTTCTTTTTTGAATCAACATGAATCAACATAAATCTGATGATCGACACGATCTTTTTTGCAATGCACCATGTCTACCTTTCACTGGATCGAAGCAACTAGCTACGCTCCCTGAAATAAGAATGAAAGTGGAAAACGACATGTTTGTAGAGGAAAATGGTCATCCAAGGGGACATGCTATCCACTTCCATGAAAATTTTAGGAGTGTCGTCAACCCAGCAGAAACCGCCCCATCACAGGACCAACCAACACCGCGCCCAACCGCCGGCGAAAGAAACAAACCACCTTTGAGACCTCCGATTGATCATGACCCAGAATGTCCTTCGCCCGGCAAAAAAAACTATCACGCCTTGCAAGCACTTAACAAGACATCTACTGTACCTGGTGTCTCATTTCCCATCTACCAAAGTTCCGTTCCCCGTTCCTCTCCAATCCCACAACGAGTGGCCCCAGGGCGTCCAGCACGGCACAGCAGATGTCCAGTGGTCCGCCCTTGGCGTTGTTCAGCTCCGATCGACTCCCCAAGCGCGTCCCCGGCGAACTGCCAAAGCCCGGCATGTCAATGGCCTCGGTTTCGGCATGTCGGTTGCGACCGCGCGCGGCGGTGGCCGGTCAAGTTTTGGCAGCCGATCGAGATGAACAATCCATGTCTGGAATATGTTTTGCATCTTTATCATAATAGGGGTCCCTTCTGTAATGGGAATAGTTGAATGTATATATATATATATGTATAGCCCAAGCTCAAGGGAACACTCCGGACTGAATCGCCCGTCCTTCCGAGGTAACGTAGGTAACGCAAGTTTATGTCAAAACAATGGATTGATCAGCCTGGGCCGCGTTTTGCCTGGGCCTGGATCCGAAATCCATGAAAATCTAGGCCTAGATCGATCGTCGTTGTGTGGGGTCCACATCGTTCGGGTCCACAGGTTTATCGTCTGTTATTTTGGCCGCTCGGCTAGGCAATGCCAGGCTTACTGAACCATTAGGGGGTTGTTTGTTCCGTGTAAGGCTTCTAACGGGAGCCATGGGTCAGAACCTGGCATCCACATATGTGAGAATACACGCATTGAAGCATGTCATGGTGGTATCACTGGTCCCCTAATACCTCCCGCGTTTGGGCCCACAGGATCGAAAGGAGGTCGCACCACCGAGCAGCGATAATCCCCTAGATTCCGCTTTTCCACGGAGGCTTGAGTTTCAAGGTCTGTTGATCAATGAAACAGTTGTTCCATTGGAAACCATGTTCCGTCTTCCTTCAAATGCACAGACGTCTTTGACTAGGGCGGCCCTGCCATTTTTTAACTACCGAACCTAATTGCCTATTTTATGGAGATCTGTGGGTTTGATATGATAGCTTCAACAGGCAACGCCAAAGCAGGTCGTTTTCAAGCACTGACGTATCAATTTATTGCCACGAATTCTATACTGGCATTATTTTCAATTTGAAGGCAATTGCAGTAACTGTAGATGTTAGATATCTTCAAGCCAAGCCACAATGGCACGGTACTTGCTGTAGAGCAAGGGCGGAAAAAGCCACCTGGTGGGCAGTGTGAGGGTGCTATTACTATGACAAACCATCTATGTGATTCTCAATGTCTAACCGTCTAACCCAAACAATTGCGAGATGACTTGGAGCCCGGACTTGGAGTCCGGCCACTACTTTGGAACAACACCTCTTTTTGCACTGCACAAAACCTCTTGGTTTTCTGGTTTTCACACCACAAAATACCACAACATCATTGTCCCTCTCTGGTGGATCCTCCATTTATGAAGTGGGCCCGAGCAGGATCCCCATTCTGTAGAGGAACAGGAGCCCCATAAAGGATAGGTCATGGAGGATTCTGGTGGTATCGAAGCAGTGGCATCTCGTACCAGGCTGCCAGACCGGTCAGAGAGAAGCGAGAGAAGACCAGGCGTGGATCATCCCCCCAGAGAAGACGAGGTGCGAGTATCCTCAAGTATAGTTGATGGATATGGAAAAATCACCTAAGAGAACACAATCCTCTGCATCCTTACCCCCACCATCCACTTCGGGATCATGGATGATACAAACTCAGGTACGGCAGTCGGCTGAGCCAGGCACTTCCAGGTCCATGCATCCGATGGGCAGCCATGAAGCAACAGGACGGCCTGGAGAGGGAGTGGGTCTGTCATGGTCTGTCCATCGGCTTCGTCCTGATTTGCGCAAGCAATGGATTCTGAAAAACTCTACCACAATCTCGTCTTACTTCGTGGTCTTCATGGTGCCAACATGTACAAGGTGTCTAAAGGATCCTGTGGCACTGTTAGCAGATTTGCCAAGCTGTAACTTTGATTCGAAACCAGCTCGTCCAACATGGTCCAACACGTCCAGGTCTGTGCTCCGTCTGTGCTCGGAGTAAAGGAAGGTCCTTTTCGGACCGATCACCTAGTCAAACCATTCAAAATCAGACCATTCTGGGCCTAATACCAAGCTTCTTGAAGTATGCTCATCAAATACCAAGCGTTCAGAAGCGTCCTGATTTCCCGCACAGAACTGAGCAGTTTCTTGGTCATAATTACTTGGAAGAGTTCATCTTGCTGGTCCATGTGGAGCATCGTCGACTCCTTCCCTACAGCCCGGGGTAGCAGTTGAGCCGAACCCGCACCGGAGCTTCGCCCGGTCCGTGAAAAAGCGACCGTGTTCGACCAACGGCTGCAACGGCCTCACCATCCGCTGGTCCACAGGTGAGGACATGGATCTGCCCATGAGCCGTGTCCAGCATCTGCGATTCCATCACTGACGCAGCCTCCATCGAAGCGGAAGCCAAAGGGATGGAGACAGGTTGTTCCAAGACTCAAAGCATTCGGGCAACCTGCTTTTTTCATGTGAAAAAATACATGGTCGTCGTAGGATGTCGTAGGAGGTAACATTTCCAAGCAGGAGATAAAACACTTTCCATGTTGAATGTAGTTGGCTGTTTAAAACGCAAGTGCCTTACTAGTAGTAACAAGTGCCTTACTAGTAGTAACAAGAAGCTATTAATTAGAAGCTATGTTGAATGTAATTGGCTGTTTAAAGCGCTGATGGACTTTGATGGACTGAAAGGGATGTCTTGGGAGCAGTTTCTGCGTGCTTCGCTGCGTGCTTCGTGCTTCGATGATGCGTTAGACTCCTCTGGGATGAAACGTGTGTGGATGCAAAGAATTGCACCACAGTGTCAATGTCTGTTTAAGCTGTGTTCTTAGTGGCAAACCATTGCAAATATTCTACAGTCCTACATAATCCCACACTCCCAGAAACTGCGAGTGGAGAACAAGAGTCAGTTTGTAGAGCAAAGTGGTGTATACATGGAAGTGCGCTAAGGGCTCAAAGTTGATGACAAATATTGCTTGGTCAAGTTCAGAAGCACTGCTGCAACCTGAAGATCACTTCAATTGCAAATATATGCACCCCGGTAGGCTAAACGATGGACCCTGACATGGAAGACCATTTTCCTCTACAACCCGACGTTGTCTTGGGGGGTCCATCTGGTCCGAAGAGCAGGAGGGTAGGACTTCAATATGACTTCGAGTTCAGCTGGACCACGAAAGCCAATTCCAATGTCCCATGAACCACAGCTCCTTGTAGAGTACAAGTTGGAATGCATGGACTGGTCAAGAATCGCCTGGTTCGGACCATCTCGTTCTTGATTCTTTTGGGGGTTCTTCCCATCCACCAGGCACTCCTTTCAGGTCTCCTTTCAGGGCGACCCCTGACACTCCGAGGGACGTCCAGTGCGGCTAAGGAGGCCCAAGGACATTCCGGCTCTTCGGTCTTCGTGGGCTCCTCCTACCGGTTGGAGCGGGGCTCAGATGGAACCACCAGGGGTGTGTAGCTGCTGTGTGCATGAACATAAGAGGGAGACCGACCCCCAAACAACGACTCTTTGGACGGTTCGGGAAAGAAACCCATTGGCCCCCTTGGGGTTCTCCCTTAGAATACACACCTGCAACGACTTTCTGGATTTCTTGAGGAGCGAGGATGGCCACTCAGCACCTGAAGAATAGGTGGGACTAGAATTGGAGAAATCATTGAGAAAGGCTTCGGCTCCAGTGTTTTGAGACCTGCTTGGAATGAGGATAAGCACCGATCACATCCAAACAGAAAGGCGATGCTGATTGCGGGACAGTTCGCACGTGATTTCAAAAAACTGTAAGTGGGTGTATACGTGATGGCGCGTGATAGATCCCTTTACTCTTGCTCCAAGCAATCAATCGGCCGTGGGATGCAAAAGAAAATTTCTGGCCTGTTTGGAAGCAAGCACCGGAACTGCTGATTCTGCAACATGTTACAGCCGGTTGAAATGGAGAATTACACCAGGATTGCAGGAGTCATAGAATTGGTCGACTATGGTCGACTTAGCAAATAATAAGCTTGGGTTCCCAAAACGCAAACCAAACTCTACCTCTGTTCAGTTGAAAAAAATAAACACGTGCCAAGTATACAAAACCAGGTGAACTGTGCAGAGATATGTAGAGATTGAACATACATTGTGTTCTGTGCGCCTACGTTCCCCCTCTTACAGCCGTTACAGCCCCCCTGGAATCATTAATGAATTGTTCTGACCACATGGCAGGCCACGGCGGAATAAATGTCCACATGGCAGGCAATGGGTGAATGTTTCGGATCTTGAACGCGTCGTTTGGTATCTCTCTCACATGTGAACCTCTTGCTAAATCATTCCAGGATGATTCCTCCCTGTATGTACGGGTGGTACCTTTACCCACTATCTTGACACTAAAATACTATTCCACCAAAAAAAATACTTACTGTAATTGTTATTCCAGTACACAACAGTGACAACAACAACAACAACCTCATATAATCCTGGAAATCAGCACCAAAGCAAATCGACTCCACCACTCGAGGTTCACCGGTTCCAAGAAAAGAACACCGCCACAATCCACCATCCAACCACATTCCACTGTGGGGTCGTCCCGCGTCGGTGTTCCAATTCGGCACTTCGCGGACGAAGCACCTTGGGCTTCTCCTCCCATGGCCGTGGCTTTCGCACCGAGTTCACAAAGACCTGAGCGACAGGGTCGCCAGCCATACCGCGAGGCGTGGTCCGCGAGCGAGGCGGGTGAACAAAATGCGACGTGGGCAACCGCGAGGCAAGCTCGTCCAACCAAACGCGACCCTGAACCCTCATCTCTCTTGTGAAGGGATTCTCTGGTCCGAAATCCTTGGGGACTGGAGGGACCACGGGCTGGTCGGAGCGTCTGGGCAGGAGACACCAAGATCCCCCCATCAAAAGAGGTAGTAGATGTTCCCGGATCACTATGTCTGACACAGGAATGAATCTGTTGAACCAATTGAAGGTATCGGAAGTTCCTCCTCTTGATGGACCAAATGCAGGGATACACCAAACGAAAAAAGACTGGAAAAACGGGAAAACACTTTGGAAAGATTGCTTCTCAACTCAGGTTTCAAGTTTCAAGGGTTCGTAAATCGACCCTGAACATCCAAGGATGCCTGGTGCCAAACTCCTCTCTTCCTGAAGTCTCTCTCCTTTTGCACCCAACAAAGCTGGCCCACCATCCACCAGGCAGGCTGTCGCTGTCGCCCATCACCCTTCGCCCTCCTCCGATCAGAACTGGCCTCGCCCTTGATCCTCCGGCAGCTGGAGGCAAAGTTCAAGGTGCCCTCCGACTCTCTCGAGTGCCTCGCAGTCGCTGCGCAGTCGGAGATCCAGTCAAGAGCCCACGGATGACCACGTGGAGATCCTTTCTTTAGAATTCGAAGGTTACAATGGTTACAAAGATTGCTTTTTGGTTTTCGTGGCCCATGCTAGAGGTGCTTTTTGAGATCTGCATGTCACTGCATGTTAGAAGGGCCTTGGATTTGCCACGGGGAAAGCCAACCGATGCTACCTGTCATTACCTGTCTTCGTCTTGGAGCTCGTGAGTCAAAATTCCTGGACGAAGTTGGTGTTTCTCTTGGTCTTCCATGAGCGGCTACTTCTCCGAGCTTCGTAAGCCTAGGTCCTAGGTCCTAGGTGCACATCGTCACCTTTTGCGCTTTGGCTTTGGAAGGGGCGCAGCAAGACCCTGCCTGAGACGGAACGCGGCCAGCCGGCCAACGAACAGTAACTAACAGGGTCAAACCGAGTGTGTTCCACCGCGAGTGTGCCACCGCGACCTGCGCTGCAACTCACCCGCCAAAACGACCCGAACTCGTTCGCCCAGTGGCTTCTGTGCCGGTGACACCGTAGCGACCAGCGTGGTGCAGCAGTTGCCGCCCAATGCAGGACGCAAGAGCTGCGTCAGGGGGTCGTTGCGGTACGGCACAAAGGGATTGCCTTACAGGAGCGGAAAGCCGGGCATGAACGCGTGTGGCAGGGCAAATTTGTTGTGACATGATCTGGGCTCTGGGCCAGGTATTTGCTGATTCTTCTCTATCAGAGGTGTTGTACCGTCTGCGGCTCCCTTTCTATCAACACCAAATCTATTCATCGCCTGAAAACGGTGGTCAAAGGATCCTAGCCTCATTCTGATGGCTTCGCACATGCGCCTCAGCCGATCAGTGCTAGTTTGGCATGATACAGCCTTCCTCTGGGTGGACAATTCTCTTCCTGCACGAACAACGCTACAACAACAAATATAAATATATGATATGATGTTATATATATATTATATATTACATATATATATATATGTGAAACTTCATATTGCATATTATTCAATATACATACCGTATACAGCTATGTATCCCAATAGCTCCGGAGGCCCCGCCAGGCCGGTGAGGATTCTCCTTTTCTGGCCCCCCTTAACTTTCCAGTGGGGGTCTTGCTAGAGATTTTAAAGACTCGGGTGACCCCCTGCGGAACTTTTTGTCTATAAAATCACCAGGCCAGACCAAACCGAGAATTTGTATTTGTATGAATTGAGAAGGTGTGACGTCACAACTGAGGCTCTTTTTGTATGGAAGACCTGCATTATGAACGTCTGCTATTTGTTTACACGTTTCTCTTCTCCCCTTCAACGGGGAAGATCCGCCACATGCCGATGTTGGCTTTCTCCGGTCCCGCTGAGCAGGACCGGTGACCGATGTCGTTCCCCGTTAAGGGAATAGAGGAATTGTTAGATATTTTGCTGATCACATTCCTTCATGTCACTTCATGTCCTTTCTTTTCTTGAAGTTTAAAGAGTTAAACAACATGAACATTTAGGATCTTATAAAACATGGTGAGAATTCCATACTTTTTGATATCAGCCAAAATGGCCTCAACTTGCAAATGTACGTAACATGTTCATATTTCAATGCCTAATTGTGTGCTTCATATCAAAAACTTACATGGTAACGAAACACTCTCTATACAATCACCTCTCCTCTATAAAATCCGGGCTGTATCCCCCCAAGCACTAGCTCCCATCGTGTTTTATATTGGGGGTTGTCCCCCCATTTCATAGAGGAACAGTTACAGTACGGATCCTTTCTGGGCGATGATGTTGGAGCCAAACACATCTCTGCCACCTTTCAAAATCCTCACAAGGAAATCCCGAAAATCCCACCCAAAGCTGGCTGGATGTCCTCAATCCCTTCCACAAGAATCGCCCCCACCATCAAAAACTGATGGAAAAAAACAACTCATGCTTGGTGGATGGTGTTTGGAATCCACAAGAATGCCCCTGTCCCACCATCCCACCATCCCAACACGTTTCATCAGATCCAGCGGCCGTCTGCGAGTGCGGCCACCACGCCCTGCAGGGCAAAGAGAGACTTGTTAATGTGAACCGCTTCGGTCAGGCGATCGCCTGGGGCGACGTCAAGGGGCGGATCGCACATGAGTTAGAATGTGAGTGACCAAAATCGACCAGGTTTACAGGTATGGTCATGGGCCCAACCTCTTGGGAATGGTCATGGATTTGATTGAAACACCTGTATATCCTCACAACGTCTGCCTGGCCACTGTGACGTCACAATAAGTTTCTTGGCATCATTAGGCTTGTTCACGAGATATGAACGAGCAACACCATGGTTTTTCGCTTTGCCCTGGGCTCGTTGGACGAACAAACATAGATCAATGCCCAGCTCGTTCTTTGGCTCCAGGACATCGCTGGACATCTCTGGACCTCCGCGCCCGCTGTGCCCACACCCGTGTGCCCACGTCCGCGTCCGAGCTGGCGCCTGTGGCGCAGGAATCCTTCACCCGTTCAGATCCAGCCAAGTCGACCAAGTACAGTTTGGCGTCGGTGGCGTTCTCCTCCTCAGTCCCTGCCGAGTCGGGAATCTGCGAGAAACTTCGGGATGTGTTTCCTACATTCTAAGGTCTATTTTTGTCTGTAGTATAGATTTTTTGTTTTTTTCTGTATGGTGGTTGGCAAGAACAATCATGAGATTGTCTGGAAGAGGTTGAACATGGTTGAACTCAGGATGATCAACTTTGATCCACTCTGCTTCTAATGAGTCTACAGAGTCTGCGCTCGTTCAGTCAATCTTCATGAAGCAACCCGAACGCTCGCGCCGATCAGCACGTGAACCGCCTTGCCACAGAGTTACGTTGAGGATCAGCACGGCATGCGATCGGCTGGAGCTAGCGTTCCTGGTTGCGGTGGTTGTGGAATGCATGACCAGGATGAGAACAAATGACGCAAACATGCACAAACCTACCCCGCTTTACTCAAGTGGTGTTCCCATGTTTTGACTGTAGCTCAAATGACAACCAGCAACAATAGCAACAAAGAAGAACATGTGTCAACAACAATGGGGCAACAATGAACTGCAATCAAGACATCAAAGCAGCTGCTCCTTCCAGTACTGATGCTGCTAGTATTGTTTGTTGCCAGCTCTACGAAGATCACAGTAGCACGTACTAGCATTGTTGCCGTCGCCACTATCCGGTCTGTCTACCACCTACACTCCCCCCGACTCCGGTCTGCCTGAACGTTTGTCTCCCTACATCGCTTGGGTCTGAAGTGTCACATCGCGACAGCATCACATCAGCCGTACACGGAAAAATGGAAGGGTTTACTCATCTCACTCAGTCGAGCTACAAGGCCGTACACGCCTGCTGCCGTCGTCGATTTCCTTCTTCCAACAAGGCTTCCTTAGACGACGGGGGGGAAGAAATGCAGGATGTGATGTCCTACTGAGAGAAGATCACGGACCTATTTGACATTTGGAGCAATCATCTATCCACCTGTGGAAGCTCCTCGATGGTTTTCCCTTCCCTTCCAGATCTGATCAACTCTCCCCGAAACGCCCACAGTGAATCTGTTCAAACATGTTCACACGCAAATGTGGTCTCCAAACTCAACAAAAAAGCATTAAAAAAACACTATCAAATCCAGGGAAGGAGTTTGGTTTCTTGAGCTTTTTCAGATCAAGACAATAGAGATACCACCTGCCCATACCGGCAAACACCCACCCCACCAAGCTTCCACGTCGTCCATACTCTTCACCGGGCGAGAGCTTAGGCCTTCCACACGAGTGTCCACAAAGTCCTCAGGCCGAAGTGCGTGTCAATAATCCCCCTCTGGATTACAGTGGTTTCAAACGGTTTCAGAGTAGATGGAACTGGCACCCCAAGATGTCTTTTGGATGGGGATCCATATAAACCACCTTTGGGGGGTTGTGCAAGCCTGTGCCATCTCTCAAACCACTGTAGCAGGTACAAGTAGAGGTTGGGTTCTTAGTGGCACTTGTTGAGTAAGGGAGTAAGGGTTGGGCGCTTCAAAGTGTCTTCCAGGACCACGCTCGGACTCATGCCCCACCCGCACTTGATCTGCACATCACTTCTCGCCTCTTCGACCACTTCTCGAAGCTTCAACTTCTTTTCGTGGCCATCTTTGACCTCAAATCGGGCCCTGCATCCACAGGTGCCATGGCCCGTCATCAAATCTCCGCCATGTCCCACCCAGAAGTTCAGCCATTGCATCATTGGGGGAACGCCCCTGAATTGGAGACCTGCCCGAGTCATCTGTGTCCAAACTCTTGGAATCTCCCATGAGCATAGGACAATGATACAAAATTATAATAGCCACAGTCAAAGTTGACTGATCAAAAGGATGCCAAATGCTCATAAATAAAACCTCTAGATGTGTGAGCAAGCCGGACCTGGACCTGCAAGGTATGTTGAACGTCCCTAAGAGGAGGTTGCAATGGCCCCAACGATCCCTGAACTGGGGGGGAAGAATGCAGTTCGTGTACCACTGTACCACTTCCCTCTACCTTCCTCTACCAACACCCCAGAGAGCATCCTGAACACTTCAGAGTTCTCCATCTAGACATCTAACGCTTCCAGAGCCTTCCCATCTCCCAGAGTCTTCCCTTTGGTACTTTCAGTAGCCAAGCGTCCAGTAAGTCGGTGATGTGATTCAAATACAACCTCACCGACCGTCGCTCTGAAGTCGGTCGTCGAGGTCGGCCAAGTGGTCACCGCAAGGTATGTCGACCCAGGGCCAGGCCAGACTGGGTGTACCCAGTGAACCCGGCGCCAGGCGTGTCCCTGACTGTTGGAGGGTCCCGTCCTGAACCTGAACCCTGAACACTCGTCAGGACGCCAACTCCTGAGACATTCTCTGGATTGACCCATACGCCCCCGACATGTGTCGAGAAGGGTTCAATCCGGAAGAGCTCGATCAATGACCCGCTGGTGTGAATCAGAATGAACTTGAATTTACAGGCCAACAGCCTACAAGTACCAACATGTAGAGCGCCC